CAGATATGTTTATTGAAATTTCATATTTCACAAGCTTTTCTTACTCTTGCAAATGTATTAAACTTCTATCCTTGGAGAAGCTGTCACAAACCCAAGACATCTTCCTTAGAGGGTAAATACACTAGAGGAGTAAACCATGCAGATATGGAACCAGAAACATTTGTTTTCAGTAGCAGAACTAGAAAATTTAATTTGAGAGGGCACAATATATACACATGTAAAATTAGGAGCCAAAGTTTTGAAAGACAAAAGATCAATAAATATAGAAAATTTTGAAAATTCTCAAACTTTGAACAGTAGAAAGCATGACTTTCTAGAATTTGGGAGGGCAAATAGTTAAATATATATAAAAAAGATTTGAAAATTCTCAAAATTTTATGGGTGACATGCATGAATTTCTAGAACTTGGGGCGGTGGCCCTGCCCCGCTCCCCTAGTTTTGCCCTTGTTTATGACACGGCTAGCTTTATACACATCTAAACTTTAATGCATCATACATAATTATCAAAGTTTTTTTTTTGTGGGGAACTTTTTCTCTTTTTTTATTGGGATAATTTCAGAAACCTCCCCTGAGGTTTCTGACATTTACACTTACCTCCCCTGTGGTTTGAACAATTACACTGACCTCCCCTGAGGTTACTAATCCTTTACAAATTCAGTCCAAATGATTAAAATATTATTTTAGAGAGTGAAATTAGAATTTTGTACCTGATTTGTCCTTTGTGCCACATGTCTAATGAATGGCAAAGTATTACAAATTAATTAACAATTAATAAACTTTAACGAGTGTAGTTTATAGGCAAATACGTATTGCCTATTTAAAGTACCAGCTCTTTACATGTATTTTACTTTCAAACATTTACTTTATCACAAATATTTATTCTTAAATACAGATTTGTATTTACTCTCAAATATTTAATTTTTGTTAAACACAAAACCTACCAGTTTTTCTTCTGTAGAAATATTGATATAACACTTTTTCAATTTTAGTTATAAATATTTATGTATTTAACATAAATTAAATGATTCAGGATAAAATATCCATAAAGAGCCAATACTTTACTCATGTAATGGATGAAAGTCATAAAAAATTAATAGTTTATGAGGCCATTTATTTTTTTAAAAATATTTAATTTATATTAAATAGATAACCTACTAATTTTTTTTTGCAAGAATATTACTTTAACACTTTTTAATTTTTAATTACAAATGTTAATATATTTATCATAAATTAAATATTTGAAAATAAAATATCTGTAAAGAGCCGATACTTTAAATAGGATATTCTAAGGTGAAGACGGTGGATCACCCGATGAGATTGATCGATGGCCTTGATGTATAAGCAGCTACTCGTTGAAATTGCAGCTAAAGTATGCAATCCTAAAATAAGTGCTGATCAGATTACCTTTTGAGGTAGAGAAGCTACAGATAATTTTAAATTATTTATTTTATTTCTCTAATGCTGTTACCAATACAAGTTTTGCACCCTTTGAAAGGGTGGGGCCAGAATTTTCCTTTAGTGAGGGCAAAATAAGATGCAAATATTTCTTAACTTTCTGAACAATTACTTGTAATAGTCATAACATTCATATAACATAGAACAAGTAAATTTATTTTATGTGCTCTTTACAAATTAGTGGTGGAACAAGCAATACTTTTAAAAATTCATAGTTAAAAGTTCATTTTAACTTTGGCCACTGGAGATAGTGTAGATCGATCCACGCTTAAAATTAAGGTTAGCTCTTGACGTTACAAATATTGCTGAGGATCCAATTTAAGTTAGTGACAAACATTGCTATATATGTCTTACAGAATTTTAGATAATGAGCCTTTGAGTGTTTAATTAATTAATTTTTAATAAGATGGAGAAAAAACTCAATCTGGCTGCCAAAGTACAGTTTGAAACATAGTTATAAAATCCGGCCCGGCCCGGCGGTCGAACCGGTCAACCCAGTGTACCCGCCAGTAGACCGGGCCGAGTCTCTAATTAGATCGGTTAAACACTGGAACCGTTGACTAGTCAACGACCCAGTGGTTCAACCGGATTAAACCGGAAACCCAGCCGGTTTTGAGGGAAAAATTTTACAAAGTTATTGGTTGAATTCGAACCTATGACCTTCAGCAAGGTTTATGACAAGCTCACCACCAGGCTATTTCGCTACATGTTAATTAGTTATCATTCTTATACTATATGAACGTTTTATCAATTTTATCTTTATTTTTTTTTTATTTCTCCAAAAAAAATTTATTTGGAATCTTTTAATACAAACTTATGACCCCCAAATTCTATAAATTATAAAATTGATTTAAAAAATAACATATTACATAATTTATTTTAAAGACAAATATTGTTTTTAATAATTTTTTGCACTTAAAATTTGTAAGTAACCTAGATAATTACATTAAACATAGATAAAATTTTACATTTGAAATTTGATGGATCACTAATTAAATTTATGTTTTGATGATTCTTATATGAATTAATTATTCTATAGCAAATTAAATCAAATGAGCATTTGTTATGACATTATTTATTAAAATTTATATCATATATCCTATATAAAAAATTATAAGATATAATATTTAAATATATTTAGTGACCCAATGATTCAACCACTCACCCACCGGTTGAACCAATAACCCGTTGACCCACCTCCTTCGCCGGTCTCCTTTCTGGGCCGGGTTTAATAACTATGGTTTGAAAGTCTTCGATTCTCTCTCCAGAGTCAAGCAGGCTGCTTAGTGCGGAGTTGGCAGTCAAAAGTATGAGTACAGAGTCTTGTCAGTGATGATGAAGCCCATGTCAAAAAGTTTCAAGAGATTAAGACTCTAAAGTAAGCTAGAATGTCAATTTGGAAAAGCATGCAGCTAGACCAAGAATTTTATGCATCATTTATTTATTTTGGGAAAAAAAAAAGTCTTAACTTGCTTGCATCATTTACCAAGAAGTCTTAACTTGCTTGGTAAAAAAAAAAAAAAAATTATTTATTTTGGGACAAGTCTTTCCTGGTCCTGGTTGAGCTAGAATACGACTTCTAGTTCTCGTGGGACTCGTGGGTTGCTGGATTTTGGTCACTTATGTAGCATTTGCTAATTAATTATTTGATGATGTTGCCTACAAAAAAAAAATAAAAGTAATTTTCTTTCGACTGTGTTGTCATTTAATTCTTAAGGTCCCTCTCTTCAATCACAACCAACTTAAATACTTGATCAAGTTGGTCTAATATGCATAATTGTACACTCGTGTCGCGATTAATTTTAACACCTAGGAGTGCTCTGTTAAATTATCCCACCTGAGTTACATAACGAATGTTGAACTAGCCTTGTGTAAACTTCGTCTAGTATGAATAGTTCATTTTTACCATATTATGAACGAAAACAGGTCAATTGGGATACTTGTATCAAAAGAATAAAGCACAATAAGCAAATGGGGAGAACAAGCAACGGAAAGTAATTTTCCTCCATGCGTTGTAACATTGGATAAAATAAGACAACATGATATATTAAGATGGGTAAATTATACTTTATCCTCTTGTGGTTTAGTATTTTTTTCATGTAACCCCCATGTGGTTTCAAAAGCTATATATAATCTTACGATTTGGATTAAAGTATTAAAGTGACGAAATGTACATTCCATAACGAAACCAACTATAATGTTAAAAGTATCTGTATATAAGGTTGAAAATTATATATTAACCACTAGGGAATTCTATATATATTTTGAAAATTATAAGGGGGTTATGTAGTAAAGCACTAAACCATAAAAGAGGTTGTGTAGTAAAACACAAAATCATTAAGGGTTAAAGTGTCATGTATGTTATGTTTATATATTTTGGTCACTTTAGCCATTTTAGTTTTTAAACAAAGGTAATCTCAACATTTCTATGGGTTCTGTTACAAAGGATTATTTTTGTCACTTGTCACTTTAGTTCAAATCATGAAAGAGTTTATATATAGTTTTTTAAAACCACAGGAGGATTAATATGAAAAATTGCTGAACCACAAGGGGGTAAAGTATATTTTACCCTATTAAGATTACTAAGACTTAACATGCCTGTCTAGTTAAGTTCTCAATTTTGAAACTATCTATACCATGATTATTACTAAATATGTGCATAATAAGTAGGATAGTAATTTCAAAAACTTCCTCTGAGATTTTTGATAATTTTACTGAACTCCCTCGAGATTTTAAAAATAATACCTACTTTTATTATCCACCTAAAATGATAATATTAGTTTTAACATTTTAATAAAGGTCCCTTCTTAGGATGCATATACAAATAATGGAAGTTATAATCATTTTTCTTTTTTGGTTTCTTTTGTAATTTCTCCTTGTAATATTTTGTCAGATCCTGAAGAGGAGAGAGGAAATGTTGATTTTTTTTAGTATATCATGTGTTGTAGTTTACACCATTATCCTTATTGTAAAGGGGAAACTTCACATTTCTTGTTAACATATTCAAATCAGACTTAGTTAATTTATTTAGCTTGTGTGTCATGTGTATAATCGTTGGTCCTTTAATTGTAACTTAGTTCATCATAGCCCTAGGCAGATTACTAATCATTTTTCGGTTCTAAATTCTAATCCAAGTACCTTAAGTCCGCGCCAGAATTTTTACTGGTCTGTTGCATTTGATTAGTTTCTCTGGCATGCAATTGTAGCCCATATATAAATTGGTGCTTGGCTGAAAATTTTAGCTGAAGAGAGACTGAACAGAGAAATTTTGGAAAGCCTCCAAAATTTGAAAGAATTCTTAGTTTAAAGCTGATGAGTTTTGAGTGAATAAAATCATTTACTGCTTGATGGCGAATTTTTGGTTTTGTTCTTATTCTCTTCCGACATATATTTCTATGTTTATTAAAAAGCTATCATTAAGTGCGTTTTTATGTGCCAAAATTTTTTTATCATTATTTTGACGGAGGAAAAGATGGATACAAGAGAAAAATTTATCCATTCTTTTAAGGAACACAAGCGAAATGAGAGTAATGATCGCCAAGAAGTGGAAAACCAATCAGGAAAATCCCTCTGGAGGACATGGTAATATATTAGTATACGAGAAAATGAAAAACAACATAGTCAATCAAAAGCCCACGAGACCCTCGAGGATACTGTTTTTTGGTCTAATCCCGTGATCAAGACGGTCATGGTCATCCATAAATTCTACTTCCTTGTACCTTGGCCTTCCTACATTCATGGTCTTCACTACAATTTCTTTTTGCATACTTGTCAATCAGCACTAGTAGATAACTGCCAGACGTCGAACAGCATTCAATCGCCTTGTTTGCCCCGCTGAAGGGCGGATTGAATACTTTTAACTAATTCCTGCATTGTCAGGTTGAATTCTTTCTCCATCTGGAAAAATGCTTTAAGGAATTAGAACAAACCAAAAAAAAAAAAAAAGGATGTATCATTGCCAATCAAAAGATTAACCCGAATAAATCTTCCTTAACTATGACCTCACCTCGGCCATAAGAGTAATATCAAGAGCCAAACGTCCAAATGGCGCAACACTTGTGTGGATAACAGTAAGATTCAGCATTTCCACCTCAGAAAGAATTTTTACCAGCACCCCTCGATGATTTCGGCAGTGTACTCGGAGAAGAATATTTTTATTGCATAATTTAGCTTCAATTTCAGGGAGTGGCTGCTCATCAGAGCCACCCATCTCATCTGATGATCCTTCATCTTCAACTAGGAGCTGTGATCTCTTCACAAGCACCATCGATTCCATGTTCTGTTTCGCTGCTTGTTCCTCCAGCGTCTTCACTCGCTCCTGAAGATGTTTCAAGTAACTGATAGCATCTCCAAGAACAGAAGTTTTATCCATCTGCGACAGCAATAAGATCTTAATATCAAAAACGTTTTGTTGGTTTATTGATGTTTTTGTCATTCTTGTAATAATAAATTCATAAATTACCTTCTTGAGGCCGGGAACTAGAGTTGATAGAGCTACAAATCTCTGGCTGAGCTGCTCGCGGCGCTTCCTTTCTGCTACAATGTGATCATAAGTTTGCGATGCTGGCCTAGTGCGGCCACCTGTTTTCTTTCTCTTCTGGGAACTTCTGGTTGCCTCCTCAAGGTTTACAAATGAACCATGGGACTTCAAAATCTCAGACACGGCATCATCCTCAAGATTTATCTGTTGTGGATTTATTTCTGCGGGCATAACTGGATTGCCAAAAGTGAGAATCATTGGCTGATTATGATGATTTGGGATGTTTCCAAGACTGGAAGAGTTCAAGTCATCGGACTTTTGCTGTTTTGCCGGTCTTTCAGCACTAATTGGAGGAGCATCCATAGCTGAAAGTGCAGACAAAGTGGTACTGCAAGTGCTTATTGGAATGAAGGTGGAGGAATAAGTATTCCCTTCCGGGGACAAATTTGCATTCAGGAATTCTTCATCAAGAAAGTCCATGACATCATATTGGTCATTGAAAAATGAATCTTCCATTCCCTGTATTTGAAAGAAAAGTGGAAATGTATAAGAAATTGGTTAAGTGATCAATGGAAGTTTTTCCAATTTAATTACGAGATATGCAGTTCTTGAAACTCCTTGGAAATTTTACATTATTATGGGTAAAAAATATGTTCTAACGAAGCTTAATGCTAGATCGACAAGTACATCAAATTAGATTTAGAAATCAAGGCTATTTACGTGCTCCTAGATTTCAAATTTTCATTTTATTATGCCCGAAAAGGAAAAATCCATTTTTTGAGTTTTGAATCCTCCATTGACCGTATGCTTAAGCCATTATTCTCAGCACTTACCAGTAGTTGTAAAAAAGCAAAAAAATCTGGCTTGGAATTCCTAATTTGAGAATGAAAATGAACTATGTTACGTACAATCTTACTTTTAGCCAAAAAGTAGTTGTGTAAGAAAACCAAAACTTTTTAAAAAATTAAGGTATACTGACAGGCTATTTATTTTTTTTTTAACTTGAATGAAGCGATGAAAGCACTGGTATCGTGGAAGTCTGTATTTCTCAAGCTTTTCAATGTGCCAATAGTGCTGCTAAAAAGTAAAATCATGGCGAAGGAGAACTCATCATAAATAGTGAAAAAAGGAAGAAAACTCACCAGCTCAGAGAACCATGAACTCACTGGATTATCCATGAACGTGGGTCTTCTTGAGTTCGTAATTCACTGTAATTTATTGGTATAAGTATGAGACAGAAATGTGTACAGAAAAATGTAGAAGTGAAATGTTTGAAGAAAGGGAAGCTCACGAACAAACAAGTTTTGGCATCTTATATAGAGATATATAGTGAATGGAAGAAGAATGATTGAGGTTTTTTTTTCTCTTATTAAAATGCACAAGGAAACATCAAAGTCAGGAGATTGATACCAGCGCTTCAGAAGGAACCTTCCACCCTCCATGCTCAGTGTTCGAGTCTCTACCTGAATGGAGCGCAGAAGGTGAAAGAGGGGAAGTGGAAGGCGTCACGAAATGCCAATTTGTACCCTACAGTTCATTTACCCTTGTTCTATGGTCTTAGACTAAAGATCTGAGGCATGTGTACAATTCTGGTTTTTATAGTCTCGTAAAATTGTTGTTTGTGACGCCTTTATAACGAAATCGTGTGCGTGAATTGCATTTTGTATACTCCAATTCAACATATGAAAATAATAATGTTTACAAATGTATATCGAATCTTGAAATTTCACTGCAATAAAAATGACTTTTAGTGACAAGATTTTCAGTGTCAACAAAAATCTTGTCACTGTTGATAAAATTCGACGATGACTTTTGAAGTCGTTAGTACTAAATTTGAGCACACACATGGTTAGCGACAACTTGGGTAAAGGCATTGACTTCTAGTTGCACGAAATATAGCAATGGTGTTCTTCTTTTCTTTTTCTTTTTTTTAATATAGCAATCGTGTTTAATTGCACCATACCTCAATCTTTACTGCCTAACCGTAATTCGCAGTTATCTTGGACTCTTAGCTGTGAATCAATGTTTTCAAACCCGGACCGGACCGGCCGGGTCGACCAGTTCAACCGCGACCCGGCCATGTGTCCGGTCCGGTCTATAACCTATGTTGACTTTTATAAAAAACCGGTCAAAACTGTTAAAAACCGTTCAAATCTTCAAAATCGGGTCGGACCGTGAACCGCGGTTTTCTAATTTTTGAGTCAAAATTGACAAAAACTTCAATTTTGACCGAACCCTAATCTTCATTCTTCATTTCTCACTTCGGCGCTTCGCTAGTTCGCCGCTCCAGTCTTCCTCAGTTCCTCTTCGCACTTCACTTCGCCGCTTCGGTCGTCCTGGTTCCTCTCTCTACAATTGCCTTGCCTGCGCCATGCCGCCATCTCTATTTCCTTCTCCCCTTAGTCCCTTACTCTAAATCTCTAATCCTTTCTCCAAAGTGTGGTGTGGATCACTTTTGGAGAAACGGCGTAGATGACCACTGGTTGGTGGTGCTCGTTGTCGACTGTGGGCTGAAGGTGCGGCTGAGCAGGGTGATTGAGGTGGTGCAGCAGCGGTGCAACTGGTGGTTTCTTGATTTTGTGGGAGTCTTTGCTTACTTTAGTGGAGCTGGACGTGGGCCCTGTAGCTCTCTCCTCGCAGACGGCCTGCCGTTCTTCTAATCATTGACGAGAGTGTTCCAGAAACTGGGTTCTTTTAGGTTGAAGGTTTAATGAGATCTATATGTATCTTGCTTCTTGAACCGTCGTCACTAGTTTTATTAAGTTCCTTCATCAATGGAAAAAATCTGGTTTGTCCTCAAATTAGATAAGTCTGTTTGTCCTGCAAATTTTTTTTTTTACTCGTTAGTTGGCTCTGTTGTCTGGCTTGAAGATTGTAGCAATTATAATGCTTAGCTGGAACATAAAATTGAAGAAGAAATAAAACATTTCTGGTTCCTCCTTGCTTCCAGTTTGCAACCGAGAGAGTGAGGGAGAGAATTAAAAATTTGCTAGCTTTATTTCTCCCGCTTGTAACCTGGAAACCGTGACCCAAAAGTGAGGAAAAAATGAGTGACTGGTGCGGCTTAGGAAGAACTGAAGCAGGAACTAAAAGTGCAGGCTGCAACTTTCAAATTCTAGGAGGAAAAGGGAAGGTAAAATTCTGTAATAACCTCTTACGCGTCTAATATACATGATACTTAAGCTGCCTGTGAATTTAGCTAGGAAAATGGACCCTTGGCTGAGGGAAAAAAAAATCTGTGCAGCAACCGAAAGTTTACTAGGAAGAAAATGTGTTCCAAAAGCAATTCTGCAGCGAGCTTTTCAACTCAGGATTTGGCGATTTTCCCTTAATTAAGTGACTGTATAGCTGTGATTGGTGTTTTGTTATCTGCTTTTAGAGGTTTTAGTTTCTTATAATAATCTATATGTGTGGTTTACACAATTTCTTTAGGTGGTTTGCTTCTTTGAAACTTAATCACAAACAAATTGAATCGGTCCGTTTTTGAGTTGCTACAATTCTATTTCATTTTTCAAGTTGCTACAAGCCTACTTTTTTATTGTGATTCAACTGGCCCATCATTAGTTCAAAGACTTTAAAAACCTTTTGCCTTGTCAGTAACAATCTTGATTTAGCAAGTTTTCTCTATAAATTAGTTTGTCCTCTTTAACAAGATGCATCAGTTTTTGACATTATTTTTGCAGGCCTACTCATTTTGGAAGAGTTTTTTCACTAGTTAATATTGTGTGTGGATTTGCCGCTTTAAGTTCATACATCATTGTAGTGACTCATATCGTATACTTATTTGATGTCTTTGAAAGTTATTTGATGTCTTTAAATCTCTATGCTATTATTTAAAAGTATATTTGATGTCTTTAAATCTCTGTGCTATTATTTAAAAGTATATTTGATGTCTTTAAATTTCTGTGCTATTATTTAAAAGTATATCTGATGTCTTTAAATCTCTGTGCTATTATTGCTCTTATATTTATTGTGGTTCAGCATTTATATCTTATTCTATGCATAGGTGTGTGTGTCTATATATATATATATATATATATATATATATATTTATTGAACCCCGGTTGAACCGGTCCGACCGGTTGAACCTCGACCCTTTCATCTCACCGGTTCGATTGACGGTCCGGGTTTGAAAACATTGCTGTGAATAGGATGTTCCATACTACTCAGTTATACTACTAGTTTCACTCTTTATTTTGACGGCATTCATTAAAATTAGGACAAATTACATTTTATCCCCTTGTGATTTAGTATATTTTTTTTATATAACCCCTCCTGTAGTTTCAAAAGGTGTACATAACCCTCTCATGATTTGAATTAAAGTATCAAAGTGATGAAATTTGAAATCCATAACAGAGTCAACTAAAATGTCAAAAATACCCTTATATAAAATTGAAAATTATTTATTAACCACAGGGGGTTATGTATATATTTGAAAATCATAAAAGGATTATATGGTAAATCATTAAACTATAAGGGGGTTATATGGCAAAATATAAAATCATACAGGGTTAGAGTGTCATGCATATTATGTTTATATTTCTTTTTTCAGCCATTTTGGTTTTTAAACAAGGGTAATTTTGATATTTTCATAAGTTCCATTACGAATGATCATATCCGTCACTTTGACAATTTAATCCAAATTATGAGGGGGTTATATATAATTTTTAAAACTATGCGGGGATTATGTGAAAATTAACTATATCATAGGGGGGTGAAGTGTAATTTGCCCTCAAAATTAATCAACGCTAGTTTCACTTAACTTATTGAGTTCTTGGACTGGCAATGCACATTAAAATCCCAGAGGAAGTATGATTAAGTTAAGAGTGGTTTTTCCAATGTAATTAATGTGCACAGGCCACTTCTTGGAGGAAAGAAGTAAAGATCGGGAAGAATTTGTTTTATCATGGGATAATAAAATTTTGAGCCATTCTATTATTGGTTAGGAAAAGACTAGATAGCTCACTATGCGTGTATACACTAGAAATATTTTAATGCACACGTGATTAACTCGAGAAGATAAAAGTGCAAAAAGGCCGATATGAACGTCAATCATTGTGGAGCTACAAATATTTAATCCCATTTCCACCGTAAAATGTAAGCATTAACACAATAAATATAAATATTAAAATAATAAATATAGAATATAAAATAGTAATGCGCAAAAACAAAACAAAGTTTCCCATTCATTAAAAATTCACAATTAATTCTATTCATTCCAATTTCAAATTAATCATATTTGGAGTGTTAACTGTATCGTGCTATGGTTTTAATAATTGTAGAAAATGCTAAACCAAATATTGATTTTTCTGACATGTTGCAGGGAAACTTGTTAGATACTCTCGATTTAATAATAAGTCTATGGGAAAATAGCATCTGACCTCCATCTTAACTAATATCATCAACTGCTGTGTTGAATTTTGTCTTTGACATCCTTGTAAAATCATTTAGGGCAAATTCCACTTTACCCCCTATTGTTTAGCATTTTTTACATAATCCCCCTATGGTTTCAAAAGTTATATATAACCCCATCATGGTTTGGATTAAAGTGTCAAAGTGACAGGGATGATCATTCGTAACGGAGTCACCTAAAATGTCAAAAATATCCTTATGTAAAGTTAAAAATTATTTATTAACCAATGGGGGTTATGTGTATATTTTGAAAACCATAAGAGGGTTATATGATAAAGTATTAAACCATAAGGGGGTTATATGGTAAAATGTAAAAATCATACGGGATTAGTGTCATGCATTTATAAGGGTAATTTCGACATTTTTAAAAGTTCCGTTACGAATGACTATTTCTGTCACTTTGACACTTTAATCCAAACCATGAGGGGGTTATGTATAGTTTTTGAAACCATAAGGGGGTTATATAAAAAATGCTAAATCACAGGGGGTAAAATGTAATTTGCCCAATCATTTATGATGCTGTCAAGTTTTGTGGGCTACATGAACATTTTTTTCTTTTTATCTATTTACCATCCAATGTCATAGCACTACTATTATTTTGAAAGCTTTAGCAGTCAAAAATTTCAGTAGCAACTCATTTTCAAATGGTGGTTTCATATTGAAGAATTTATCCTATAAATACGCGGTTTGGCAAGGCATTTGGTGTGGCACTTCTACCACCAGAGACTTAAATTCATTTAGGGAATTCTCCTCCTTTTGTGTAGTATTGAGTTTTCTTGTTCAGTCTCTTTCTTATTTTGAGGCATTGGGGCACTAACCATTCCACTACCACCTTTCTTTCTAAAAGCCATCCTGATTCCTGTAGTATTGAGTTTTCTTGTTCAGTCTCTTTCTTATT